TCAGCGTCCTATGGGACCACTTGAAGAAACAGGTGACCATTGCTACGGAGGAGACGACTGGGTGTACAAACTGTAAGCGGCCCGACTGGTTCGACGAAAACAGTACGACGATTGTGCCATTAGTACGAGCGAAAAACGCAGCGTTCTTTGCATCCGAGGTTGACCCTAACAACGTGATGAAGAGCGATAATTTTCGCCACATTCGTAGGCAGCTAGCTGGAAAGCTGCGTCAGCTGCAAAATGCGTGGTGGACAATGGAAGCTGAGCAGATGTAGTCCTTCGCTAAACACCGTCAACAGGAAGATTGCTACGACTCCTCGAAGGCAGTGTATGGCCCACCGTGCAGCAAATGAAGACCCTGAAGGACTTTGGGACTGGCGCCGTATACACACAATATGTTGAACTCTTGCCGATGTGACACAGACACTTTGACACCCTTCTGAACAATCGATCCGAGGTTGACTGGGACACACTGCACGGACTGCAACACCACAGCGTACTATCCGAATTTGAGGACACACTGGGTATGTACGAAACGTAAAGAGCACTTGCCCAACTACGGAATGGGAAATGCACTGGTGCTGATGGCATACCTCCGGAAATACTGAAGAACCAAAGACCAGTTATGATGTGCGCACTCCATCGTTTGGTGGAAGCCGTCTGAATGGAAAAGCAAGTGCCTACAGAGTTGAAGGATGCTTTTGTGCTTCCATTGTACAAGGAAAAGGGTAGTAGGCAATACACCGACAGGTATCACGGCATCAACTTATTTAGTTGCGTCGGCAAGATTTTCGCCTTGTGACACATCTACTGGAACCGAACGTACCTGAAATGCGATGTGGATTCCGCTCGGGCCGAAGCACTATCGATATGCTGTTCGCAGCATGTCAACTACAGGGAAAATGTTGTGAACGCAATCAACCATTATATTCGCTCTTCGTCGACTTCATCAAAGCGTTCGATACGGTGGACCTTGAGGCGTTGTGGCTGATTATCTCAAAATTTGGCTACCCTTCAAAGTTGATTCGTCTGACTGAATGCCTGCATACTGGCATGCGAGCAAGGGTACAGCTGAGTGGACAGACTTCAGCTAAGTTTGCCGTTATCTCCGGTGTGAAGCAAAGATGCGTCTTAGCCCTTACACTGTTCAATATCTATCTGACTGCTGTGATGTCATGCGCATACAACATGTGTGAATGCGGTGTGCATCTGGAGCACCGCATGGATGGGGGGTTTGCTTAACATCCACCGCTTTGGAGCAAGAAGCTTAGCGCGTGAGACAGCCATTCGTAGGCTGCTGTTTGCTGACGACTGTGCGTTGTTTACACCTACCGAGGAAGAACTGCAATGCATGACGGCTGCATTAGCTTCTACGACCACCAAGTTTGGACTCAGCATAAACACAGGCAAGACTATATACCTATTTCAGCGGGCATCGTGAGTGGAGCCCATGTTCAGGTCAAGAATACGGATTGCAGGTGAAGTACTACAGAACACGTCAGCATTCTGCTACCTCGGGAGCACATTGTCAACCGACCTGCGGATCACCAACGAACTGCGCGCTCGTGTAGCGAAGGCAAGTGTGGCTTTTGGGAAACTGGCACATCACGTGGAAGAATCGTCATCTCAGGTGGTGATGTACAAATCCATGGTTCTCTCGTTCCTTATCTATGGGTCAGAAACCTAGACACTGTACAGAAAGGATATTCGGTTTCTGGAACGGTTCCATCAACATTTCCTTCGCCGGATTCTGCACATCCACTAGTGGGGCAATGTGCCGGACACTGTTGTGATCCGCCGGTGCAAAGTGTACACCATGGACTGCATCCTACTGCTGCGACACCTCTGGTGGTTTGGACATGCGCACCTTATGGACGCAACGAGAATCCCGAAGCAACTGCTGTATGGGTAACTGAGCGCAGGCGGCCAGAATGTAAGCAAACCAAAGTTGCTCTATCAAGACAATGTCAATGTTAGTTTGTCCCGAGTATATATTGACCTAAGTGTTTGGGAGGAGATGGCAACGAATCGCCACATATGGCGTGATCTCCTCACTTGTACCGTTACCCAATCGCAAGAAAGACAGTTGGTTACATCGGGAACTTAAACGTGCAGCACGCAAGCATCAGCTGCCGGCGAACTACAATTCTTCGGCTACTCCCACATGGAGCTACAGTGCATGCGGCCGTGTGTGCCTTAGCCCAGCCGGTCTGGCCAGTCATCAACGAGGCCACGATGGGGCTATGCGGAACAGGTCGACTGTGAGACCGGGCACCACAGACTGAAATGTGGCCCTTGCTGGTACGCAACTGAGAAGGGACGGTGCATGTTAAATCGGCCAAACGTTATGGAGCAAGTTGAGTCAGAATAGAATCCCCGTTCGCTCGCAACATCGGACGGGAGGATTTTGCACCGATACTGCACTAATTCATCGAGTGTTGCAGCGCAGCGACAACCACCCATGGTTTCTGCAAAGACGCAGGCACTCTGTATTTGCCCTACTGGTAATCCGAACACAGATGCCCACATATGAGTGCCCCTATGCTGAGGTTTGGTGTTGCGTATACCATGCTTCACTGACTTACCTCACCTTAACTTATCTTACCGTACCTTCCCATTACCATAGCCTCCAAACACTTTACCTATTACAGTATCCGAAAGCAACGTTCCTTCGCTTTGTTAGCAAATTCGCAATTTGATGGACATGTCCAAGTTGGACCATGCATCCAAAGATAAATCGCTCCGGAACATCAGTGGAAAGTGAACAGTCCCGACAAATAATTGACTAGCGATTAACATGATGACGTTGAGGTTTCATGTTCTGTTTCACATGTTATTCGTTAGAGTGATTAGAGTTATAATTCCCGTTCTTCGTCCGCCAACTTTGACTTAGCTGAGCTTATGAAAATCAGCTGACTCCAGCGCACCATTTCCCTGCAAACTTGAAAAGTTGCCTACTCACGCTCCGTCATCTTCTTTGTGTCATCCTTATTCCATCGTTAATGTAAGTCTCGCTTGGATACAGTTTCACTCTAGAATGATTAACTGCTGACTGCGTGCAATACAGTGTCTTTATTGGACCTGTCTATGGGGCACCTACTAGAAGGTACACTAGACATGGCCAATCTTCTGGGTAGACTAATAAGGTACTGCCAACGATAATGGTATGTCAGTGCCTTAGTATATTACATAGGAAAGGAATCGACGCATAGCGACAATTGTTCATTTTAAGAGTACCGGATGGTTGCACATGCGACGTGCCCACAGCACGGTACACAGCGGTATGTACAAACGGATGAGTACTTGGATGACAGCCATGCTTTGTCTTGGACATCTGCAAAACAATGCGAACACTGTTTTGAAAGCCGCATGTTTGGCAGTGGGCAGCGGGACTTAGTTGATGTAGTACTGTGGTTGTTCCCGTGCCAACGAAGCCGTAAGCGGTGAATGTGTGGCATTGCCGCCGGTTAAAGCTTATGGTTGCGCAAAAGCGTTCTTTACGAATCCACACGTACCTCCGGCAGCAGATGCTCGGACTGGTCGGAGAGCCTGAAGTGAAGACCCCGTCGCATTTGCACGCTGTGCGATCTCCCTCACCAACTACGCAAACCAAACTGTACATATAGGCTGCAACACCATAGTACACACTATTTTACCGTACCACTTGTTTATTAATCATTCTACCTGGTAGTCGTACTGCTGGCAGTTGCTTCATTATTCCTATGTCGCTTTCGTTCGAATATGGATGCCTAAGATTTAAGGCTGTCATTTATGTTCACATCTAAATGTTAACGAAAGCATCAACGGTACGTATTGGGTACTTATTCTTACGGGTGTGAAAATGGCTGTTAGCCTTGCCTACAAGCCAAATCCATGCACGTTTGTAGTACCGTTATTTATGTGGTTTAATGTGTGGCAGTTCAAACTTAAGTTTAGACGAACGCATGCGCAGCGGTTGTATTCGAACTGCCATTGGCCATGAATGACGCCAATGCATGTCTGTATGCATACCGAATGAATTCGACAAGGGTACTCATACAGCTTTTGTACAGCCACCTTAGTGCAGAGAAGCGGAACAAGGACAAACCGGCATTATATTTCCAGGATGTGAAGTAGGTGAGTTGATCACGAACTAATGTTAATTTCAAGTGTTGAGATTCACTGGCAGAATTGATCAGTGCGAGTTCCGTAGGCTGATCAAGGGGGCGGTTACCCAGGTGCAGGAGAATTCACAGTTGCGCGCGGAGAAGAAGCGCGATGTGTCCGTTCCCATGCGCTTTACTAATCCAGGCCAATAAGGCGGCGGCTGTGGTGCGTTTGCCTGCGCGGTGAATATTCCTGCATTTCATTCCTGCATTTCAGGAGTTAGATGTTGTTTGAAATACCCGGTGTGGCTGCGCCTTATATGAATGCTGTCAGGGTGCCTGCCTTTCTATTACCCACCACCTCGTCCATACCGGCTCCATGAGACAGTTGGTTGTTGTTGCTGGGGACGGGGTGCACCGTCCTCGTGATGATGCTAGGCGCAAAGAGTGGTTCCATCCTATGTGGAACGGGCTACGGTCTAGCCACCGCCATGTGTAAGTCTGGTGTGCATGACTTCCCAATTAGGCCGGAATGCTTCTGTTCTGCTTGTTGAAGGCGTGTGGGTCGGCTCCGTTGATGAAACGTGGCTCCCATTCACATGCCTCCTGGTCTTATTCCTTCGGGTTTACACTGGATATGGGGTGTGTGGATGGAGCTGTGGGTGGTGCAGCGCAAGCCACCCATGGCCCTTTGTAGGCGCAGGCGTCCTGTGACTGTCCCCATGCAGGTCACAGTGATAGGCGAATCCGGATACGGACGCCGCTAAATCATGCATGTGTGTCTACGTTTTGCCCTATGCTTAGACTGATGTTGCATACACCATGCTTCCTCACCGCAGTGGGGCTACACCGCGTTATCTATGACCATTCACCATTAACCTAATATGTCGATTTCGTTTACTTTGTATTGCTCAGTACTCTCTTTCCGCCTCACATGCTACTGCGGTCTCGTTCGTATGCCTTGTCGTGATATACTCTTGGTCCAGCGCAGTTTTATACCTGAGGTGCTCTCAATAGCCGGGAATGGTGCATAATTACTAGGACGCTCCAACTCAGTGTTTTGTGCGTCGTGACGGATGAATGGAACGAATCAATTTATACTTAGTTGCGTGGACCCAAAAAGACGCCAGTGGTGAGCCAGACGGAAGGCAGGTGTTGTTCGACATTGTCAGTAAGTCGTTATTTATTGCACGCGTTACTATTCGACGCGCAGCTGTTCATAGCATGAAAACTTTGGCTGTTATTCTTACCTCTAAACTGAAGTCATACATGTTCGCATTATTACTGTCCAGGAGGACATTCCGCAGTTGTTAATGGCTCAGACAGACTACAGCCTCCATAACCAGACGCAAGAATGCAGGTTACCATGTGCTCTAGGAGTTTCCGTCCCTGGGTGTCAGTATCCACACAGTGACCGGAGCTCAAAAGCATGGGAACATATTCGTTGGTATAGTGCTTTGCAGTCTCACTCACTGACGTTTCACAATTCATGCAGACCTAATGTCCGACCACAGTGCCACTCGTACTACGAGTGACCTCGAATTGTCTTCAAACCTCATTATGAATGTCAGCAACACATAAGCCCTCCAGTTAGTCCTCCTCTGTATGCACAGTTGAAAGACCACAACCGCTAGTGTGTGTGTGTGTGTGTGTGTGTGTGACGGATTCAAAGGAACACTAATGAATCCCTTAGATTGGTCGCCTATCCTCAAGCATTCTCATCTTAAAAGCCAGCGGTAATAGTGACGCCGCTAGCGTTCGAATGGGCCGCGTTAACTCCTGGCTACCAAGCGCTTGCTGCTTACAATATTCCACATTCGTTCGTGCATTCGGTTGAACAAATTGGGTGTAGTGATCAACAATTATACCTGGAACCCAATGACTCTACAACGCTTCCTCGCTTTGGAATGCAGTTTGGAAATTCGGTGTTCAAGGTCCAACAATTTTCCTCACAGACACCCACACATTGTCTCGTCCGTGTGATTTGCCTTATTTCTGTGCATTGCAAAGACCCGGTTCTACTACCGGGACTAAGGTATGCACATATTGCACTTGAGTTGTATTTTGTTTAACTGTATCGTAGTTAACGTCTTGGTTGGACCATGGCGTTGTTACGTGTTACTCGAGACTCACAAGCAGTCTGTCGTTTAGCTAAATAGCTTATCGCCACAGCCACATCTTTCAACGGTCGGGTAACTGGATTTTATGCAGGCTACTTCTTGTAACTTAGCTAAAACAGTTTGAGCACTTTTTCGAAAGCCCATTGTAGGACAGGAAACAGTGGGATTTGCTAGATATATTCTTCCTTTGATCGCGTCATTGCGGTTATCAGATAATCTGTGATATTACCGCCATCTAACGCAAATAGCAGACGGCATCTGCAGCACACACACAACACACACACCAACGATAAGACATCATTGTTTATATTATAGCTCTTATTTGTGTATCATTTCCCACCTGGTAACCGTATTGGTGGCATTTGTTTCCCCATTCCTATATCTGTCTCTATCTGTTGTTGATGCTCACACTTCTGACTAAATTTATAGCTGCCACTTTTAGGTAAACGCTTAAATGTTAACTAACCAACGACAGTCGTATTGGTTGCTTGTAATTGTACTTGAGGTCTTTCAATACTAGTGGAATATGGCTGTTATTCTTACATTCAATCCATACTCGTGCACGTTTGTGGTGTTATTGCTCATGAGGGTTATTGTTTCTCCATCCGGTTTGTGGCAGTCCATACACAAGTGTGGGCAAAAGCCCGTTCGCAACACTGCAGTACTGCAACTCGAACTGATATATCATGTTGAATGACTAAGTGGAAGCCATTTATAAACACTTGTAAACGCCACACTTCAGTCTGACAGACTGATGGCATTTTCCCTCGCTTGACACCATTATCTGCTGGCTCGATGTCTAAATGGGGCTCGTCTAAATTACAAGTCCCGCTAACATCTGTTCGTGTCTCGATACATTCCCACTTGACAGTTGGATCTCACTACATTTCTTCTCGTGTGACACCGTGAGTTATTGCGGGTTGCAATATGGGGTCAATGTATCCTATCTCAAGTATCTCCATACACCCACTTGTACTGCTGCCGCCTTCAGGTAAACGCACTGAGATTCAGACAAGTCATCAAGGTTGATTCCGGAACAGCGACAATGTGTTGTGACATCCAAATCGAAATGCTTGGGCATAGGTAGTATTCTAGACACTGATGAATTGGTCGAGATATGCTAGCGGTCAGAACGGATGACCAGGGGGAAATAACTAGTAACACCCGACGGACTGCCTGGTGGTTCTGCATCCCTGTTGATTCTCGCTCACCTCGGACAAGAGACGATCATAACCGGCTCTTGTTTTACCTTCCGACACGGATAGCCTGCAGTGGATATACTCGCACCATTCCCTGCTAACTTGGAAAGTTGCTTACGTCATCTCCGTCATTTTCTTTGTGTCATCCTTATTCTATATCCCGCATGTAAGTCACGCTTGGGGACAGTTTCGTTCTAGAATGATTAACTACTGACTTGGTGCAGTGTGGTAGCTTTATTGCACCTGCGTAGAACCAATGAGCCACACCTAACCTACCTTTATTGAGCTTACTTAACTCGGTTGTATTTCGCGATGAGTTCACGTGTTACCCATTACAAGGTTGTACTCATCATGACCTATGTTGTGATATTCTTGCTACCTTCTCAAGTGGAGTCTAGTACGGTGACGTACCGAGACGGTGAGCTACAGCATCTTCTTCTTCTTCGTATTATTATTATTATTATTATGATTATTCGGCCGCAATTCACATCACTATGTAAACTCCGTGGTATTACTCACCAGACTATGCTATCTACGTTCTGCTCCTTGAAATCGATTTGTAGATTACATAACCGTAGCTTGACCAGCTGCTCAATGCTAAATATCACGACGCTTAGAGAGCCGGTGCATCGCAGAATAATGGTTCAGTCCATCCATGAGTTTATTCGTAATTGACGTGCGCGCGGTGTTTCCGAGCGAATTGTGGGTTTGATACGGAGCAATGCTAGGGTGGCAAATTATTGTGTAAGTTTCCAGTTCGATAGATACCTTTGAATCAAAAGGTTATCATCGCTTGCCCGCTTACAGTACGCATAAAGTGTATAGTTTGACACTTGGAACACAATGCTCAACAATTGTCCCTCGTGTGACCACATTGGATTGTGCATTCGAAGAGAAATTTCCCTGGAAATTCTGTGGCAAGTGAACAATCTACACAATTAACCGACCAGCGATTATCACGATGTCGACACTTCATGTTCCGCTCCGCAGGTTAGTAATGAGAGAGAGCATAGTTATAGTTCCAGTTGTTCCTCAGCCATATTGAATTCACCGGCGCTTATGAAAACGCACGTATTAAGCGGATGGAATGCGGAAGCGCAGATACGCCTATCAGACGTTGCATTGCACGTGGCCAATCTGTTGTATAGATGAGTATAATGTCAAATCCAGTGAGAACAGTACGTCACTATATTAGTATATTACATCGGAAAGGAATTGGCACATAGCGACAATCGTTTTATGAGCACCAAATGGCTGCACCCGAAGACGTACGATGCAGATCGTTATCAAATAGCTTATGACCACAGCAGAGTACATATCGGTATGCACAAACGTTTGAATACTTGGACATTTGCAAAACAGTCCGAATACTATTTGGAAAGTTGCATGTTTGACAATGGGCAGCAGGACTTAGTTGATGTCACTTGTCAATATCAAAGGTTGCGCATCAATCGTTCTTTGAGAATGTGCACGTACCTCGGGCACCAGATGACCGGACCGATGGGCGACACGGAGAGCCAGAAGTGGACACTCCATCGCATTCGCATGCTGTGCGATCTCACCCATCAGTTAGGCAAAACATTCTGTACATGTAGACGGCAACACCTGAGGGTACACTATGTTACTGTACCAGTAGTCTAGTCATCATTCTACCTAGCAGTTGCTTCACTATTGCTATATCGGGTTCCTTCAAATATGGATGCCCAAGATTTAAGGCTGTCACGTCTAAATGTTGAAAAAAACATTGACAGTTCATATTGGGTAGTTATTCTCATGCTTTCGAAATACTTGTTAGCTTGACCTCCAAACGAAACCCATACAGGTTTATCGTACCATTGATCATGAGGTCTAATCTGTCTCTATCCAGTTTGTGATAGCTCACACTTCAGTTTGGATAAACGCAAGTGCATATGTTGTATTCGAACTGCCATTGGACACAGATGACCCCAATCCATGTATATATGTATATCGAATGAATTCAACGCGGATACTCATATCGCTTTTGTGCGACCAATTTAGTGCAGGGAAACGGCACTCGGACAAACCGAAAATACGCTTATCAGAACATGAAGAAGGTGAGTTTAGGATAAACTCATGTTGATTACAGGTGTTGCGGATCCAAGTCCGATTTTAATCAATGCGAATTTCGTGTACTGCTAAAAATGGCGGTTGCTCAAGTGCAGGAGAAGGTATTATTGCACGCGGAATAGAAGCACCATGAGTACGCTCCCATTCGATTTACTGATCCACGCCAATAAGTCGGCTTGTGTGATACGTTTGCCTGCATGATGAGTATTCTTGCATTTCAGACGTAGATGTTGCTTGAACTCCCCGGTGTGACTGCGCCTGAAATGAATGTTGACAAGGTGCCTCCCTGTCTATTACCCACTACCTCGTCCATACTGGCTCCAGTAGACAATTGGTCGTTGCTGGTGAGGACGGGGTGCACCGTCCTCGTGACGGTGCTAGGCTCAAAGAATGGTTCCATCCTGTGTGGAACGGGCTACGGTCTAGCCACCGCCATGTGTAAGTCTGGTGTGGATGATTTCCCAATTAGGCTGGAATGCTTCCGTTCTGCTTGTTGAAGGAGTGTGGGCCGGCTCCGTTGATGAAACGTGACCCCCATTCACATGCCTCCTCGTCTTATTCCTTCGGGTTTACACCGGATATGGGGTGTGTGGGAGGTGCGGCGCAAGCCACCTATGGCCCTTTGTAGGCGCAGGCGTCCTGTGACTGTGCCCACGGAGGTCACAGTAACAGGCAAATCCGGATACGGACGCCGCCAAATCATATACACTTACGCACATAAACCCCTTTTGCAGTTGGTTAATTTGTATCATATTTGTACAACA